TTCCACCTGCTTACATGCATCATCTTCATCTTGGAACTCGGGGGATGGAAACCCATTAACCATTTCAAATAACCTCTGCATGGTCACCTTCAAGTTGGGTGAGCTTGAAATACTTGAAAAGTAGATGTGATCTTTGAAAAAGCCTGAGCACAAACAAGATTATATATCTACGTAAGACATCTGGAAATTGCAACTGACTGAATTTAAAGTAGAATGGAAATATACAACTATTTACGATCTTAAAGCCAAAAAAAAGAAAGTTGTATAAAAGCCTTAAATTAAATGAGTAGTAGATCAGTAACAACACAGAGAGAGAGAGAGAGAGAGAGAGAGCAAATCATACGTCGGACTTGGTCGTCTTGGCAAAGCATCGCGGCCAAGGTTGTCTTGCCACATCCACCAGGAGCACATATTCCAACCACCTTTACACCTTGTCTAAGTAGCTCCGTCTTCAACTCTTGCAGAGGCACCTGCAACCCAACGATAAGATTTGGAAGTTCTGGAACCGAGAAAACCCTAGACCCCATTCCACTGTAAATCTTTCTCTCTTTTCCAATCTTGGCAACTTCTTCGAGCATCGATCAGCTGTTGCCACTAAACAAAGCTCCTTCCACCTTCGGTGCAGGCGAAGATCGAAGAGACGTGATTATCAAACAAACAGCACGGCGAATGCAGTTTTATTGGGCTCTATATATCAAGCTTTGCGCAATTGGAGTCGTTGGTTTCTTTGCCGTTGGGAAGAAGACAACGAACAAGGGTCGAACAAAAAAGATTGATTGAAAACAGAGACAACGAACAGATTTTTTATAGGGCTGAACTTTTTTGTTTTGAGAGGAGGGAATCACGACTTCGTCCTTGAAAAATTGAAGGAGCCGAGAAGAAGACATATATATTCCTCGTATTTGTGTCTTCGCGTCAATTCACTTCTGCCCGTTTTGTTTTTTTCCTGGAAACTGCTTCTGCCAGTTGGTTACGAAAAGCCGATGAATATACGAATTGGGATCTGCTACATACATAGCGCCTCACACCGACCTCACAGCCACATTCCACCCTACAATGGGAACATCTTCCCATTTTAAAGATAAGAGATGTTCTTGGTGTGCGGTCACGACATGCAGTGAGGTCGGTGTGAGGTGCACATTGTGAAGAGCAGATCCGCACTCTAAATATACAGCGTAACTTACAAAAACACCTTGTACACGGGGTGAGTGATAATTATCTCCTAAAATTATTTATCACACAGACTTGATACGAGAGTTCAAATCAGTCCCCACACGATAGTTTCCTATAAAGTCCATATATTGGAAACATCTCCGGATGAATTTTGACTGTTTGGACTTGATGATGATATTATCATTTCTGAGATTATCATGGGGAGATGTTCTCAATATACGGCCAAAATGTGCTGTGGGACAATATGGGGTGCAATCTTGTGGGAGGTTGATTTGATCTCGACTGTTTGACATGTGATAAATACCTTCTGGCCGTTTATATATATCCTTAAACCCTAACTGATTCTTTAACATCTCTCTATTGTTGCACCTTCATTGTTTTTCATTGTTAAATATTTTTATTGTCTCATCGGTCATCGGTGAAGAACTTTCTATTATGTTGTCTTTGGAGAGGAAAAATTCGCTGGGGAAAGAAAAAATTCCAATAACATGTTGAAGTGAAAAAAAAAACATGTTAGTTGGTTTGTTGTTCAATTGTAAAGCGTCTTCAGGGATTATCAACAAAACCATAATCAGCAAAGTGCCAATCGGCTGGTTGGTAAGGTCTTTTACTAGTAGTAGAGACTTTGATCAAATCCCGCCTGCACTTGGGTTGGGAATAGGTTACTCCTGTTGTACAATCTTTGAAAAAAAAAACTCCATGTTTAGATTAGTCAACACAAACGTCGTGACCATGTGAATTCCACCCGGATAAAAGCGAAAGACCAATTCTTTAAACCAGATAAGAAACTAATCAAATATTGTTAATTTCAAAGTTAATGAAATGACCAAGAATCTCATGTTATTTTTTCGGATTTATGTGGGAACCAGGGAAAGTTTATTTTCCTGGGTACCACTTAAGTGATACCCGTCTCCTAGGTGGGTAAATAACTTTCCCACCTAGGGGGAAGTTGCCAACACTTGAATGAGACAAAAATGTCCATTTTAATAATGGATTTTTACAGTTAAAATGGTCATTACCTTATTTACATGAGAAATAAAAGAATATGAGTAAATGCACTTACCCGGGTAAATGCTTTCCAAGAAAAACTTACCCAGATAATTGAATTTACTCAAATAAATTAGTTACCGAAAAACGAACAGAGCCTAAAAGAGTTCTGATTTTATAACCGACGATTGATTGAAAAATCATATAATTTGTTTTAAACAGAAAACAAAGCAACCAGATGACACCCAAACGTTCTTCAAAAGGTAGATGGGGATATAGAAAAAAGCTTGAATAAGAATTTTTTTTTTTAAAAGTTAACTGATGGATTGACTATATAAAGGGCACAAAGTAAAAGTTGAAGGGTATTTATAGCAAATGAAAGTTTAGGGAGGTAATCGTCACAGACCCCAAATGAATATGATTTCTGTTGATTCGATCACCGTTGCTTTTAACAATAAATCAGACATTTTATTCCCAACCGAGTATTTGAGTCTTTGACGCTTGTTGTCGAAGTGAGATATAAGAATGAAAGGGTCTTTGACGTCTACTCTAGATTGTCCGTGTCTTGCTTCGTATGGTTCACGTCAACTATATGTACGCACTTATGTTAGCTTTATTATATCTAATTGAGAGCTCCATTAATTTAGTTTTCTTTTTATAATAGGTATTGAACAATGGGCTTCATTTGATTAAAAGATTAAGGGTTGTTGTTATGGGAGCTAAACAGTGTCCTCAAAAAGAAGTGGAGAAGGAAACACGCGAAACCACGGATTCCTTCCTAATCAGAAGTGGAGAGGCTTTGATCTCAAACTATTCTTTAATTCTAAATTTGGATTAGAGTTTTGTTCCATTAAAATAGTTTTTAATTTGAACATGTCATCAAAGAATTTATGCAGAACAGTGGCAAAGATTTTTTGGCTTCTGCTGCACTCAAATTATTGTGTCTGATTGTGCGCGATCTTACAGCCCTCTACTAGTGAACAGCTTGGAGGTCGGGCTGACGAGGTCGCCTTGTCGAGTTGTAAGAAAGCAATATCAAAGTGTTTGGGTTGTTTTACTCGGGGTGGGCACTCCAATGTTTAAGTCAGTGAATTAGAGATTTTTGAGAGAGTTTAAAACCAAAATAGCTAGAGAGCTGTGAAAGTTAAATTGCACATACCTTCTAAGGTTGGAGGTGAGACCCTTATATAGATGGGTTCCGTGAGCCTCACGAAACACGTCCGGGATCATCGCCCCATCTAGTTCGGAGGTGGTTTCATGCCTGGAGGTGGACTCTGCGTAAGCGGATAATGCTTATCTAGTCGTGCCCGAAGCGGGCAGGGTGATAACCAGCTCTTCTGACGTGGCATCGTGATCCCGGGGAAGTCAAAGACGATTGCCTGCTTAAGAAGGAGGTCGTCTGGCACGTCAGGCAAGTCGCTAACTAGGTCCCAGTTAGGTCAGCAGGGTCTTGAGGGAGGTCGCCCCTAATGCCGAGGTCCCTAGCTTGGTTGTGATGAGGTTGCAACCTAAGTCTTCGTCAAGTTGGCGAAGGTAGGTCACCTCTTATGCCAACCTAGTCTTGTCGAGAACTTACACTGTCAGGTTGGCAGAGGTAGGTCGCCAGTTGGGCCTCTGTTAGGTCGATGGGGGTGTAGGCAGGTCAACCACCACATCATGCAAATTGCTACCTAGACCTCAATCTGGTCGGTGAGACCTCGGCGGGAAGTCTCTCTTTGTGCTGAGGTCTCAAGCTAATTTGTAGTAATTTACAACTAAATTAAGAGAAGAAAAATATCAATAATTTCTTGATAATTTTTTATATTTTTATTTTCATTATCTAAATCGAAAATTTAAATTTTATTTTAATTCTCTAAATTCAAAAGTTACATTTTGTTGATATTAATAATTACTATTTTTAAGAAAAGTCAAAAATAAATTTTAATCCAATGAAAATAATTATCAAAATTGCATAATAATATTACTATTATTATAATTAATGTTAATATCAATTTTTACCAAAATAATTATTTTAGTGTTATTATAATTACCATTATTATTAAATTTATCAAAAGGAAATAAATTTTACTATTATTGTAATTACTGTTATTGATTAAAATAAAAAAATTCACAAAATTAAGAAAATAATTGTTAATCAAAAGAAACAACGTACAAATAATCATCAATAGAATTATAAACTCATAGGGAAAAGCATATCAACTGACCTTGGAGAGAATTTAGAGGGGAGGTTTGTTGCAGTAACAGTACCCGAATTAGTTAGTTTCAGCCTATTTATCCCATGAGGAACATAAAAATAAAGCGTTGAAGGTGGTTGAAGGATACATTGAGAAAGAGGATGAGGCGGGACCCTTGTATGGGAAACATTGCTCCATGTGATCGACTATTGGAAAACACATAAAAAGATCCTAGTTAGGTTAATAAACCCTACAAGGCTACAACTAAGGGGATGTTTGGAATCGTGGCCGTTTTTCAGAAAAACGGTGTCATGTTGGATTCACATAGACGTTTCAATAAATGCCCATGTATCTCATTGTTTAGTTCAGCTGATTATTAAAAAATCGGGCATGTCTCGAAAATTGGGACCCCACTAATGCATGAAACACCAAATTTGGCATTTCATGCATTGGTGAACTGTTACCCCCAACGGTTGACTGATGTGTATCCTATGCTTACATGGCAGAAGTGTTTTTTTTTTTTGTGAAAAATGGGTCTTGGAAGCATGGGCATTTTTTCTTAAAAATCGGTCCCAAAAAGCAGTCACGCTTCCAAACACCATGTAAGTTGTTGGCTTTCAATGTTTTCTATGAAAAGGAAATCCATATTCAACGTACTAAAAGATGCAGATGATGAATCCCCAACCTACAACAGCCTTAGAGTTAGCTCTAGGCCTAGATTCATTGGGCATATGTGCCTTGTGCAGATATAACTATAACCGATGTTATGGTGTAAATTGGGCCATGATTTTGAGCCAGTTTGACACGGCCCAGCCCTACAGATTGCGGGTCGTGCCAGGCATGACAGAATCATATGGGTTGTGACAGGCCTGGGATTTTAGGTCCATGGGTCGGCATGGCGTGGCATGACTGAGCGGGGCCGTGTTGTCCACGGCCCAATTCAAAACTGCCCAACATGATATATATATATATATATATATATATATATATATATATATATATATATATATATATATATATATAAATGGTCTATGTCACCTTGGTATATATAAACAATTGTATACATCAAAATTCATTTATAATCAAATTTTAAGATTTATTTTTAATTTTTGTATATATTTTTTAATTTAAAATTTTTATTATTTTTTCAAAAATTTTAAAAAACATAACGTGGCTAAATTTGTGACCCGGCTTGGACCAAGGCTCGGCTCACAAACCAGTCTGGCCTGTGGCATGACATGGGCCTACACGAGCTCAGGAGGCCATGGGCCCTGCTAGGCGGACCCCCCAAAATATCCCAAAAGAGGAAAGCACTACAAATCCGGGTACAAAGTGAGAATAGGTCCAAAGTATAACATAATAATTTGCAATTTAAATATTATTTTTTATTAATATTGTTAATCATTGTTAATCATTGTTAATTATTAATAATCATTAACAATATTATTAATAATTATTAGTAATCCAACCCAACTTATATGTTTACACAGTTTACATAAAACGCTATTTAAGACTTTAAAGATTAAACCAAGTGAATGCAAATACATGTGGAAGGTGTTTATTAATTGTTGCATCTAGAAGAACTCCACGTCTCCACCTCGCTCAGTCGCTCCTTAGGTCAATTCCAAGCCAATCCAAGCTGACTTTGTCTTTGATCACCTTTACGTGGAGCTTGGAGAGAGGGAATTGCAGAGGTTCCCAGAGAGTGGCTGTCTCTTCATCACAAATCACAACCTCTAGACACTCAAGGTTCATGGCTGAACATGGTAGTTCCCTT